TTAATTCCATAGAAAATCTGTGGAGGGAGCTGTAGGTTCAAGTTGCCAAATGAAACCTTAATGACTTGGAGAGGATCTGCAAAGAGGAGTGGGAGAAAATCCCTCCTGAGATGTGTGCAAACCTGGTGGCTAACCACGAGAAATGTCTGACCTCTGTGATTGCCAACAAGGGTTTTGCCACCAAGTACTAAGTCGAAGGGGTCAAATACCTTTTTCACTTATTGACATGCAAATCAATTTATAACTTTTTTTGTTATTCTGTCTCTCACTGATCAAATACACCTAGCATTAAAATTATAGACTGATCATTTCTTTGTCAGTGGGCAAACGTTCAAAATCACAAGGATCACACTGTATTAATGTTCCTCTCCTGAATGAAGAGCAGAGGGATTGCCTTGTGACCAGGAACCATCTACCTGGTGGGTTAAGTAATAAAGTGGGTGGATTTTTTATATTGAAAATTAAGATGATTAATCATCATTTAAAAAACATCCATCCACTAATTGTTTGTCACAGATATAAGATACTTCTTTATTGAAGAATTTAAAAATAATGAAAATTCGGCAGTAGGTAAGAACAGAGGCTACTTACGCCCTACTGGCGCTTTCTCAACAACTAGAGGGTTATTGCGTAAATGTTACTTTGTGCTCGGAACCTTTAGAGGTGCAAGCTAATGTAAAGATATAAGTGATCTGGAAGTTCTGCTTGTCTCACTAATAGCCATATTGGCTTGATAGTATTGTAGACCAATAAGAATCATATACATTAGGATTCATTCTAAAGTAGAAATATTATTTTGTTTTAATATTTAGTCAATAGTAGGCATAGTCAGCATTTAAAACATTTTTGATTTTTTTCTTTATTTTGTAGGATTTTAACCCGTCTTTTCAAATGCAAAATAAAGTTTGAATTGAAATGATAATAATGAAGAGATAATAAACTGTATTAAAATTTGGAGGCTCATTTTGCATTCTGGGGCCACACTGATCCTCAGTACTTTTTATCACAGTAAATAATGATGGCAAGGTATTAGACGTGTAATTCATGTGTGGATGGCAGAGCTGGCAACTTGGAAAGTATGACATAAGCTGGGTGTAAAAAAAATTGGAATTTGGGTGCATGATTATAAACAATGAAGCAAATCTGAGGGTCGACTACATGAATGAGAGGAATATTTGGTGGGAAGAGAAATGTGTAATGTTTTCACAGACATCTCATGGTGACTGCTAATAAAGTTTTCATTAAAATGTAATATGTATATAGGAATATTGCAGAATCCAGGTGGAAGAGGTCCATGGACCATTGTGTTATGCTTGTCTTATATTCAGCAGGGTTCATAACATCATGTATAAGTGATATATGGTGTTGGACATGAATTCGGTATTTAGAATGAATATGTTTCAAGGAGTCACTAAGTTGTCAGGTGTAAGAGTTTACAAAAAGAGGATGTATAAGTTGGAAAAAGCAAATTTTGGAATTGGCAGATGTGGAATAGTTGGTTTGATGATTGTGTGGGTTTGGATGGACTGATCTGTGAAATTTAGGAATGGGTAAATTGTAATTTTCTCTTTAGAATATAGTGTATTCAAATGGCCCTCTTGGAATAAAGGAGGAAGTGGTGGGAATGGGGGGTGGGGAGGAGGCAAAAATGACAGATGGATTAAATATTCAGTCTTGCTCTTGGACCTTTCCTGGCCTGAAGAGTTGGTACAAGTTAGGAGGTTTGAAAATAGTTTGGGTGCATTTAAAATTGCTGGTAGAGAAGAGTGGACAGAGAAAGCATAATCAAGAGCAGTATCTGTGAATTTATCATGAAGCATCTATTTTCTGTCTCACCAGGACAACTATGTTGTAGTCTCATACTGTAGGAGAATTAAGGCCTGCTGAATGTGTTGGCTTATATAGAGTATGTAGACTACGTCTACGGCAGGGCAAATTTCATAAAAATGTTCGAAGATGGGTATTTAGAGATTTCTTATCTGTCTGTCTTATCAATATTAAGTGTAAAATAAAAATGAAAATCCAGCGCACTCCCTTGTCCACTAAACAGCAACTTTGGTGCTGACAGATTTTGTTAGTTTTTTAACCCCTTAAGGACACATGACATGTGTGACATGTCATGATTCCATTTCATTCCAGAAGTTTGGTCCTTAAGGGGTTAAAAACACCTAATCTAGGCAAAAAATAATGGGGGTTTAGTTACATTATATGATCATATATTGCATAAGCTTGCCACAACGTCAATGTTAAGGGAGTGCGCTGGATTTTCATTTTTATTGTACTAAATGGCTCCCAGCAGCACCCTATCTATGCATGTTTAGGTGAGTGCAGCCAGCCCCTTGTTTTCTCATATATATATTTATGAGTCTAGCCAACTACTTGGGACAAAGGTGCCTCATCCCAGGGCCCTATATAGCCTTGTACTGCAGAGAAATCGAGATGGAAATTTTTCCCAAGTAAGTAGCTCATTTAGCAGACTTTTAGCTGTTAGAGTAGGACCTGCCAAAGATGGGGTACATTGACGTTGCCTATATTAGGTGTTTTAAAAAAAACTTACAAAATCTGTCAGCACCAAAGTTGCTGTTTAGTAGATAAATAAGTATGCTGGATTTTCATTTTTATTTTACTTATTGGCTCCCAGCAGCACCCTATTAATGCATGTGTAGGTGAGCGCAGCCAGCCACTTGTATTCACAAATATATGTATATATGAGAAAACAAGGAGTCTAGCCAACTCCTTGGTTTTGCACCCCTCCCTGTCACAGGTGCCTCATCCCAGGGCCCTATTTCTTACATAGTTACAGTTACATAGTTAGACTTGCGTCCATCAAGTTCAGGCTTCCTCACATTTGTTTTTTGCTGTTGATCCAAAAGATCCATCAGTGTTTCATAAGCCAATTCATCCTCAATGTTTACTTTTCAAAATTGTTCACCAGCCTCTGCTTTCCTAATCTGTCAGCTTTCCCTACTTTGTCACCAACTCCTGCTCCACCTAAACTAACACCCACAGCCACTGATCCCTATTTTCCACACCATCCAGACCTCCACTTCCATCCTATAGATTCCATTGATTTTTATACGCACCCTAGCTGAATGCAGGTTGGAAACAAAACTATCCTGGTCTGCAGAGCCCCAGGAAAACAGACTGAAGATCTCCTTGTTGCAGAGGATGGAATGTTTACTATGTGGAACATCAGGGCCGGTGCAAGGATTTTTGACTACTCAGGCAAAGATGCATTTTGCCACCCCGTCGAAAAAAAATGTATCTTCACCTGTGTGCCTTTGTGTGTCCCCTTTTCTGTATTTTATTTCTCCTGTGTCTCTTACAACCCTCCCTGTGTATTTTTTACTTCCCCCAGCTCCTTTGCCTTTCTCTTTCTTCCCCCCAGACCTTCTGTGTGTCTTTCATCCCCCTGCCCTTTTGTGTGGCTCTTTCTCCCCAACATATTTGTGCGTCTTTTTACCCAAGTACCTTTGTGCATCTCTTTCTCCCCCTAGCCCCTTTGTGCTTCGTTCTCCCCCACAGCCCCTCTGTGCATCTTTCCCTTAGCCCCTCACCCTTCTGTGCGATTCTTTCTCCCCCCCCAGCCCCTTTTTGTTTGTCCCCCTCAACCCCACTGTATGTTTCTTTGTGCCCCCCAGCCCTCCTGTGTCTTTTAATATTCTCCTGTACCTTTTATTGCCCCCCTCCCCTCCTGTACCTTTTATTGTCCCTCCTGTACCTTTTATTGTCCCCCCTGTACGTTTTATTGTCTCACCTCCTCCCCTCCTGAACCGTTCATAGTTCACCTTTCCCTCCTGTGTCTTTCAATGCCCCCTGTATATTTTAATGTCCCCCCTACTGTCCCATTTTGTGCCCCCTTCCTCTTCTGTACCTTTCATTGTCCCCCCTCCTGTATCTTTCATAATCCCCCTAATGTTCATTTTACTGTCTCCCCTCCAGAACCTTTCATAGTCCCCCCTCCCTACCTGTCCCTTTTCTTGTCCCTCCATCCTGTACCTTTTATTGTACCCTTACCCTCCTATACCCTTCCCTCCCTCCTGTCCTGTAACTTTTATTGCCCACCCTCCCCTCTTGTACCTCTTACTATTGTTCTCCCTTCTGTATCTTTTATTGTCCCCCTCCTATCCCCTCGTACCTTTCACTGAACGGGCACCTCCATCCATGTGTTTGAGCTAGAGGTCCGTGGCGAATGATCCGGTTTCCTGTTCTGGTCTGACAGGAAGCAGTTCGTTGCATTTCCTGTCAGACCTGGTAAGTAGAGTTCCGCCCTCTCAGCCACGCACCACGCAGTGACAGACAGGAGGGGAGTGATGCTAATGGCGCTCTCCTCCTTCTGGTCATCGGAGATCGCGCCCCCCTGGACCCGTGCGCCCTAAGGCGCCCGCCTGGGCCGCCTTATGGTAGCGCCGGCCCTGTGGAACATTACTAGGTTACTTGATGCCTGCGCAAATACTGTATTGTTACTGTCTAAAAAATGACCAATCCTGCAAATGGGTAGATGTTAAATGGCAATATTTTGTTGCATTATTTTGACCAGTGATGGTCTCTTGGTCAGCTGCCTCGACCATTTCAAGACTTGCGTGCGGCCAGATTAATCACAGGTCTGACAACCCTCCAAGAAATTCCCCACTATCCTAGTTGGCTAGTCGAACCTTCAAGAGCTACCCCAGCTGAGACCTACATTCTGTTTTAAGAATCAGTTCTGTTTTTGTTTGTATCACCTAAAAAGTGGATCTTATGTTAATTGGATCTCATGGCAAGTAGAGAATATTAACACCCCCAAAATTACAATAGAAATATATACAAGCAAATTTAATTAAAGACACATAATTCCTGAAAATAATGTCATGTATAATAACTTCTTCAAAAAGGTCCTTAAAAAGCAGTAGAAAATAAACTACATTTTTGTTTTTCCAGTTTACTTTTGGAATAGATTTTTTTTCTTTATTAAATTTACAAAAAAAAAAAAAGAAAGAAAGCAATCAGATTTATTGGTGCTGGTGTAACAAATAATTTTATTTGCATAACAAGAAGAACCAATTTTTGGAGTACATCATAAATATCTATAAATACTATGAACCTTTGAGACAATCCAAATAAATAAATAAATATTGTCATTTTAAAAATACATATCGGGTTGGTATGTACGAAGGTATGATTAGGTGTGATCAATTGAGTTAGATGTTTCATGTTCCTTTGATTTTACATGGGCAGTGCCAGATAGCCAAAATGCATACTAGACACTATCCCATAATGCAATTTGACAGGTACAAGTAAAGTATAAATAGTTGTTGCTTAATGATACCTCTTACTACCATTTTCTGAATTTTAGCAATCCCTGGATGCATAAAGTACTTTATGGTTTATTTATTAAAGATTTTTATGGTCCGTGGATACTTCTGTAGTTTTTTTGGCCACAAGGTGCATGGGATGTAAAAAGCCCAGTATATAGGGCCTATTTTTGGTTGATCCATAAAATGTCCCTAAATTCAGTTTGGATGATATGTAAAATTTCTCAATAGGAAATACCATGCACCTTTTCGCAAAACTACTTGAAATTAGAAACACTGATTTTATGTCTATTGGTCTAAGTGCAAATAAAAGAGAGGTGAATGTGCTTTGGAAATTATTTTTACAAAAGAAAACAATAATTAATGATCTATAGCAGGAGTGTACAATTTTGGCATGGGACTATGGGAAATGTAGTCCTACAAAGAGTTGGAGGACCACGTTTGGATACCCCTTATTGATATTATAAAATGGCAATTGTAAGGTTAATCTCCCTGGAGTGAAATCTTTCCACTATTCGGATTCTTCTCTATACATTGACATGTGAATGTGTAGCATTAAGAAAAGCAATTGACACATCATGTTAATAGAATTGCGAACAAAGTAATACAAGTGAATTGTAAAATTCAAGCATAGATAAATGAGTTTGCAACAAATCTCAAAATTAAAAAATTTCACTATTTAGTGAATAAGTGCAAGAAATATGATGGTTACCTCTAAATCTTCAAATATCAACATCCAAATTGAACCAGATGCATTTGAGCCAGCAATACTAGGTAATAATTATAGATGGATATTCAAATCTAAATATTTGAAATGGTCCATAATTTTTGACCAAATAATAAAAACATTGCTGCAAAGGATAAACGCCATTCAATCCTTTTGTATATTATGAAACAATACAAAAATGCAGTACAAACATTTAAAAAAAACAACAACATACAAGTATCAGGTGTTTCCATATTAAGTTAAATGCTGCTGACAGACACTGTAACCCCTTAATCCTTATTTTCGAAAGCTGAATAACAAAATAAGATATATATGTAAGATATGTTAGTGCAACTATTTATATATTCTTAAATACAAGTTCTTTTGCTTAACAAATTACACATTGATCGTCACTGCATTCACTCATTAAAAAAGCTATGTTAATTTTCTTTAAGGCGCTAAAATATAATTTAAGCCAATACTTAATTTTACTTTTTTTTTTAAAACCAGTGTATTTTCAAGTGTGTTTGAATGACAATGACTATGAATTTACTAAACAGCGAGCTGGGATGAATAAACAACTAACTGACATCATTTAGGTAAAAAAAAGCCAAATTGAGCTTAAGAATTTTGGCCTACATAGTCCAAGCTGGTTATAGGGTTCTCAGTATAGCCAACTGTAAAAACAAAATATGGAGGTTTATTCACTAAAGTTAAATTATAGTGAAATAATAACAAAATAGCAAACATTCCAAATCAGCACTTTTTACCTAAATTATGCAGTTTAGTTTTCAGCTCACCACATTTTTTAGGGATAAAACCCATGTTGTCACAAGCAAAATGTCATCACATGTTTCTGTCCCTAAATCCTGGTATGTAAGCTAGGTTTACTATTGCCTGCCACTTTACCCCATACCCTTTGAATTTGCAAGAGGTTTAATAATTTACTGCTTGAAACGTACTGGTGAGGACACTTGTTTTAAATAATAATATATCTGAAAGATATTTCAAGTAGCTGTGAATTTTTGCCTCCATTATGTAATCTCTTTATGATATGACATCAAAGACTGTTCAATATTGACATGTTAGCAAGGGCCACTTACTGAGGTAATTGGCAGGAATTCAACGTGAATTTAAAATTTGAAGTCAAAATGGCTGAATTAAAAACATAGCTTTTCCAATTCAGCTATTTTGGCCTACAGTTATAAATTCAGTTTGAATTTCAGACAATTCACAATACAGTGATTATCTCTGTGTAAGATATTACCAGAAATAGGAGTTTCTGGAGAAATGTTAAAAAATTGAGCTACACGCATTAATAGACTTGATAATTGCTCCACAATTATGTTACTACATATTCCTCAAATATCCTTTGCATCATACACTCTATATCTAAGTTTGACTTTATGCATAATTCTAATGTAAGAACTAAATTTACATAACAAATACACCTTTAACCTCCCACCAGACTCATATAAAAATGATAATTCTCATAAAATACATTGTCATTTAAAACACACTTCTTTAGAGAGTTTGAATCGATAATTTCAATATCTTGTCAATGTTGTAAAATAATGCTCAAGAGAACCTGTGAAAAAGAAAATTATTGATATACACACACACACATATCTCCATATATGTGTATATAAATAATATTTTTATATACATACAAAGTGAGTCAAAAGTCAGTAAGCAATTTTCCAAACCACCTATTATTTACTGAATAAGCTGTTTAATGGCAGGTAATAAATCGAATAATCTACCATTAAAAAAATCTAGAGGTGTATGGGCCATTCCTGACTATAACTCACCATTTGTCTAAATAACCATAAAGCTCACTATATATATATATAGATATATACATATGTGTGTGTATACTACTTCATATTATTCTTCATTTGTGCAAAGATCATCACTATTTCTATCTCAATTCTACATATATATATATAATAATAAAGTTAAATATTAAATAAATTAACTATATTTTTGGAACACGCTGGTTTCTCTTTCACAAAGAAGTGCACATTTCAAAATAATCATATTAGCTTACAAAAAAAATTAGGAGTCTCCTAAATTTAGGCCTTTAGAAAAACCATGTTACGTTTACGCAAGAGGTCATGGATGAGCAAGAATTGCTTTAACTTTAAACCTGATCATGCAAAAGTGTTTCGAAATGATTTGACAATTTAAAAAGGCATAGATCATTCACTGGTCCTTACAGGACAGTGCGGTGGGTCAGGGCTACTCTAAATACACAAATATATCAAAATAGACCCTGGTGAGTGGCTGTATATTGACAACTGTACAGTTAGGGCTGTAGTCCCTGAAAAGGTTTGGATCGTTCTATGAGTGTTATTTTGAATAAAATTATGAGTATATAATTTCTGTAAATCTTAATTTTTGAAGACGCTGTGGGTATTATGCAGAAAAAGTGTTGCATTTTCGAATTCAATTTTTTTTCCCCTTATGTTAGGCCAAATATTGCTTATTGCACCTTTCTTTCATTATATTTGGTCTGTTGCTTTTTTTTTGTTCACAAATTTTTCGCTTTCAATGTATAAAAAAGACTTACAAAAGTGCACCTTTCCTTTTTTTTACATAACAAATTGTGCATATGCACAAAACTAGTGCAAAAGTGAAAACAAATGCAACACTTTCTATACATAAACACCTATGTGTCAACTACAGTATCTAACAGAATTCTAAAAGGTTACACTTGCAACCCTTTAAGTGGAATCATACGTGGCATTATTCTTTAGGAAAAAAACTCGCGAGGGTGTTGTTTTCTGAAAGTAATTATGCGGAAAGGGTCATCTGGATCTTCTTTTTCATTATGGTTACGTCTGATTGGTTCCTGAGGAGCTGAAGACAAGACTTCTTGGACATTTTTTGGTGGTGAAGCATTGATATTTTTCTTTACAGTCCTTACAATATTTTCTGGATCTTCAGCACTCCTGGTATGTCTTCTGATGGGTTCTGGAGTGATAAATTTGGTAATAGGGATCTGGTTCTCCATTGACAGGAACTGGGAGTAAGGAGGTACATCCATACCAGGACGGAAGACATGTTTTGGCCTTTTAAGGCTGATCAGAAAGTTGTGTTTAGGAGAGTGATAGACATCATGCCTGTTCTCCAGAGTCTCATGTTTAAATACGCAGTCATCATAGCTAAAGAAATGCTGGATGAGACAAGAAAAACACACTTGTTAAATTGCTGTCACCCTTTAAGAAATACATTTGGTGATTAGTATGAAACTTATGTGGACTTTAAACCAATACAATAATATCAAAAAGTTATTTTGTAACAAAAACGCCAGTAGAGATCAGAACAACTGCTGCAAGAGGATTCCAATATATATATTTGCATTCCATCAAAGAAACGTTTGTGTGACGGAAGTTTGAAGAATTACTGATTAAATACTTGTCTATTGCTGGCAACTGTCCATGGTACTAACATTCAATTAGTGTGATTTTCAACAGCTAAACCAGGGTTGGGTAAAAAGTATATCCCCCGCTTTTGTAGAACAGTTTGGATCTACCTTGTGTCCACTTCTATAAGGTGGTGATTGATTCATAAAATACTTACTGAACCAAAAACATTTCCATTATGGTCCATGCACAAGTAACGTCCGCTCTTGACGCCCGTGATGACCACCTTTCCTGCTGACTCAGATTTGATCATTAGTGCAGCTGCAAAGATATAAAATAAATTAAGTTGTTATTTACAAAGTCTTTATTCAAGTGCATGAATTAATAGTTTCCCTATTCTACAAAATAAAAATTCAGAATCCAATGTTACTAAATACATTTCCAATTGTACTCAACAACAGTAACTAGAAAGGAACAATAATGCACGCAGTGTTCCCAAGGTCAGGAGACCTCAGTATAATATACCTTGTCCCCCAAGCAATGACACACAATTATAAGACTGCAAAAAGGATAAAAATCGTTGCCAAGTACAAGAGTAGGCACTTGCTCCCTTTAAAATGCAACCCAGATCAGGATTTTTACATTGCCAAATCACAAGAGAGAAGATGATTGCTCATATGGAATTAACATCTATAACAAGGCAACTTTAGACACCCGGATGTGATGGACTGCATTTCTCCTGATGCTTTGCCAGCATTATGGCTATAATTGCACTATGGAAGATGTAGTCCACAACACCTAGAGTGCCAAATGTTGCCTACTACTGCTCTGTATTTTGAGCTTACACTTCTACTGCAAATGAACTATTATGGATCAAAGTACAAATAATTGTAGCTGCTACTACATGCACTGTAAGGGGCTGCTCCCTTGGAATCCCCTCCAATTGAAAAAAAAAATACACAAATTGTGAAATATCCCACATGATAATATATATATAATTAAAAATCATTTTACTATTATTATTGACATTTCCAAAGTCGAATTGCACTGTGCCGTCTTACAATGCCATTAGTGGTTTACTATAAGGAGGTATAGATGTATAAGTTGCATTCATTTTATAGCTGGCTTTGAACGTGTATGGAAAAAAGTAAATTGGCATCTAATCACTCAATTCACAATACAGGGATTCTATCACCTTGCCACTGGAATTATTTGTGTTACATAAAGTACTTTTGAAAACAAAAATTGAATTGATTAATTTTTTTTTCACTTTCATAACCGGTCCAAAAAAAACAACATTGACTTTTAATGAACATACCAAAACAGTATGTTTGAGAATGTTAGATTATTGAATAGTTTTAATAAAAGCAACACCCAAATGCAGCAAATTTTAAGCAGAATGCCACCATCCATAGCTCAAGGATGGGAACTGAAATATAATCCAATTCCTGTTATTCCTTTTAACATCTTGTACTTCAATGTCAATACATTTTAAGTGCCACTTGAAACACAATTATAACACAACCAATGAAGGCATGTATGTCAAAGCTGGACGTTTTGAAGACTGGTGGATAATATGAGAAAAAATTGCTTTACTGAAAGAGCAGTAGATACACAGAATAGCCTTCCAGTAGAAGCAGTGATGATCAATTCAGTATATTTTAAACAATTTAATTTGTGCAAAGGGTACACTTAACTTAAAAAAAAAGTTAAGTAAAAGTTCTATTAGTAAGTTTAGATGGCTTAATTTGTTTATATCTGGCCTCACACTCTTTAATATATATTGTACATCTGTGATATGGGTACTATAAAATGTAATCTGTAAATTCAATACACAGTGTGTTTAAATATTGTACAGCATTCTCTAGGTTACCTGATACATAAATAATCCTCATATAATACTTTATATAGGCGTATGTGCAGTTAAATTATAAAGGTTACAAAATATATACCATTACACCATTAATTAAGAGCTTGATAAAACCTCTACTTAAATGTATTCATAGCTGTGTTTTTATGTAAGGGAATATTACGAAACATTTCTCATAGTTAGGGTTGACCACATTTAATTTTTAACTATTGATGCATATAAAAAATATAAATTAGCATGGTTTATAAAATAAATTGCAATGCGGATCCTTTAAAAACATATTTAGGGGGTGGTATGCTAGCCCTACTTATTAAACTCCCATAGGCACCCCATATTAGACCCATAAATCTTAACTGATGAATATTCATACTTACTGTAAATGGTCTGATGTGGGGATCCATCAACATGCCCGTCATGATTGATTTGCAGGTGGAAGCTGTTCCATTCTGTAGCTGTGTACAGGTGCATTAGTCTGTCTGGGTTACCCCAGCCTGCGTTGATTACTGGAGAGGAGTTTGGAAAGGCTATGGTCACCTCAATGCTGGTGAGTGCATAGAGCAACAGGGCTAGGCTGCTCCACTGGCTCATCCTGAACATGCCTCTCTCTTTGTATGGATGCTGCTGAAACGTGACACTTTTCTGTCAGCTCTATGCCAGGTCTGAGACTCAGTAACTTTTTTTGCACTATTTATAAAGGCTAACAGTGCAGTGACATCACACAGGAAAAAGTTCTTGTGAACATCCTTTTCTGTTGTAACAGCAGAAATTTAAGAGAGCCCTCAGACATAAAATACCCAAGAAGGGGAATTCACGTGGATGCCATGGGAAAAAAGATCTCTAAGGCAATTAAAAAAAACAAAAAAAAAAACATGTAGACAACATATATTGAGAAAAAAATGACCTCTTGCAAAATGCTGTACGTAGAAACTGTAACCTTTGGCCATCTAATTACTATTGTTTAAATATTGTCTTAGTTTTATACGGTCTTGAATTTTTTATTGTGCTTTAATACTTATTTAGAATTATTACGCATTTTTGTGAGTGTACACTAAGGTACAATTTACTTTTTAGAATTGCTTTCCATATTCTAATGCTATTATTCTAGATGCTTGTAAAACAGTTTATACCGAGATACAATACCTGGAAAGTATACTTGGTCATATGAAAAAAAATCTCTCATGTCACTGACATACACATCGTTCTCTAAAATCTCTGTGTGATCTTCTTTATGATGTTTTGTTTCGACATGAAAAATCAAAAAGTTAGAACTAAAAATCATTAGTTAGAAAGTGAATATGAAGGTAACTGAATATTGGAAAACATTCTTAAAAACATAATTTAACAAAAATGAATAGATTAGGAATATTGTGCAAGCTGGATTGATAATCAATGGGTGGAAGTGGATGCTGAATTACTCCACCCTGGCACTAACAAGTAGAGGTTTCCCCCCAAGCCCCATACTCAAGCACTTGTTAACACCTCAGCATGGTTTAAATATTTACTCTCCAAGGATATTCTATTCCTTCAAGATGACTCTTTTCCAAAACCGCAGTTGTGCCTTCTGAGCCCTGTTAAGAGGTCAGATCTCCAACTATTAACAGTTGCACATCTACTCTTTTTATGGGGGAGTGTAGCAAAGTGTCCATTTTATGAGCTAAGTTCAAATAATGGAAAGGAGACCCCCATGATATACTGTCTAAAATGAATGCTTCTTTTAGTTGAAGACTATATTTGGAATAGCCAATGAGGGTAATGGTTATCTTCCTAATGGATGACCATGCAACACTGCTTTGGCAATGGAAAAAAGTTTAAGGCTCATCTTTGTTGACCGACTTTTGACATAAGTATGAATCCAAGGAGTCTTGAATGATGGATTGACAAAGGTTTGACCCTCTGTCACAGAATCCCATATAATTCCTGTTTACTTATGGGAAGCCTTCAAAATGCTATAAACAATTCTTCGAATTGCAATTTATGATGTTCTACTTAACAATATGATGAAGCAATTCTATGAGTATATATCTATTTACTCTGTAAGGGTCAAGTTTTGTAATCTACCTTGCACTTTTAAAGGATCAGTCTAAGTCGTCTGGCTTGGGTTATAAAAATGCAATAGCCATTTTGACTGATGTCGCATCGCCTTCATCTATTTTGTTGCCTTCTTACCTGTGCACTGCTAAGAATTTGCATTCATATAATGAGCCATTTAAATACTTTTTCAACCAGTGTCATTTCATATAAGACTAAAAGCCACATCCTTCTGTACCATCTGGCTAATTGCGTCAATTATTTTGCATGGTCTATAAAATCATGGCTGCCTCGGTGCTCGGCTGTTCCAGAGCTAATATCTGTTTGTACATTATATGTTGCTGAATTACGGACTATTGACAACATGTATTGTATTACTGAGTCTGACTCTGTGTTCCTGGCTTTGCTTCTGCCGCCTCCCTTTGATACCTCACTGTTTTCCTTTGCGCTTCTGCTTAGTGTCTTGGACTCTGTTCCCATCTTCAGATCTTCAAACAAGATATCTTTGTGCACATTGTGTTACGGGGCTCCTAGGATAAAGATATGTCTTCATTATCTGATAGTAGTAGGCTGTGTCTTTTCTTCCTCCTCTATTACATTGTGTCCTTCATTATTGCACATTGGTCAACTGTTACTTCTAAACAGGAGACAGATTTGGGAGATGTTTTTGGAGGAGGAGGACTGATGAGACATGTTAAGGTTACCATCCTAAAATAATCTCACAACAGTAACGTCACAACTTGTATTTGTATTTGCCCCCTACTACTCCATACTACTCCTTGACCTGCTTTAGAAGATGTTCTGAGGGGGCACCTCAAATGGTGCCCTTGGACGCAACCCTTTCATGGATGGATTTTGACATAGAACAACAATATGACTATTATATATAGTGTTCTCACTCTCTGTCACATCTGTGTGAAATTGACATTCATTCATGTTTAGGAGATGCACCTTAAGGGAGCTTGTGCTAGAAGACCACTGCTTCCATAATTTATGACTGGATACCTATGTTCCTTCAAGTGTAGATACTGGGACAGTAAATGTGTAGACCTATTTTTTTTCTCATGTATCTAAAACATGAGTGTATCCCATTTTCAATGTTTTCCAACGGACATTTACTTCAAAATAAAACAGCAGCATGTATTTTCAATGAGGGAAACAGAAACCAAATACTAGCAGCTAAAAGGTTCATTAAAACACCTTTTTTATAATGAAAGTAGAAATTAAAACAGTTTTGTCAGGATGAATCTAGTTTGACTTGAACTGTCAATCTGTTTATTTTGTTTTTTTAATGATTAATGACTTTCAAGCCAAATTAATTTCAAAAATACTTATTGAGGGAACTTATCCATAATAAGGATGTAGTGGCAATGGAATTACTTGATCAAAATTGAAATAGCGGACAAATGACTAATGTCACCTAGAGCACTTCTTTAGATTTTCTAAAAAGTCTATTCCGCACACTCAAAATATTATTATAAAAGGTGTCTAATTACCTAAAACAAAGTTGCCCACGAACTCACTTTTAGTATGATACATACATAAAGTAAAGCAACTGTTAACTTGGATATATACTTATTGGAACTAGTTCCATAGGAGGTCTACATAATGCTGGTAATTCAGTTGAATACAGAATAGCTTTGTGAATACTGTTTTAATGTTTCTTATTTCTAAATGTCCAAGAGAACTTGTAACTTTAACTGACTGTTACTCCAGACATTGCTTTGAATGTGTGTGGCCATCCATAACCATTAATAGTCACCCTAGGTGAATCCAACCATGCATTAGGTCAGGCATAGGCAACCTTAGGCACTGCAGATGTTTTGGACTACACCTCCCATGATGCTTTGCCTGCATTATGGGTGTAAGAGCATTATGGGGGATGTAGTCCACAACATCTGGAGTGCCGAAGGTTGCCTACCCCTGAATTAGGTCATCATTCTGGTAGAATAAATAACAGTTCAGGCACTTCGGGATAACAGACATAGCAGCTGTATTGGGACAAAAGCAGCAGCATTTTGACCATACCGTGTCTTTATAGAGCCCCATTCTGGTAGAAGCAAGTATTCCCCAAATCACATGGAAACTGAAATGGGAAATGTTTATGTCAGTATGTGAATGTCTTGACATTGGGGGTAGGAGCACTTGATAGTTCTCTTTTATATGGATATATTGCAATGGTTCCAAACCCAAACCTAAAGGCAAGAGCTCTAGATATTGTCAGTATCCCCATAGAAGTCCTACTCTGTTAGTGGAACAAATATATCATATAATGAAGATTTAGGTTCAAATGCCAAATTTGCCTTAATGAAAGATGCTGAAGAAGACATTTCAAGGTTTTGTAAAGTACTTAATAAATACCTTATTTTACAATAAACATGTAAAATGCACCACATCTGATCATAGATAGAATGTCTCAGGAAGAAAAAGCTCACTCAGCTGGGCAGTTTGCCAAAGCCCTTTGTAAACTTTTGACAAGCATTATTATTATTTCGTTGTGTCAGTATAAAATAACTTTTTTTTAATGTGGCAATAATGGCGGATAGACGATTAGGGTGCAATCGAAAATGGCATTTTAACTGTTGTTTAAATGTTGATTTCCCAACTTTAAATCATTGTAGATACTGTTTTAAAATGTTATATTTCTCCTGAAACACTGTAACAGTAATTAAAAAGGCATTTGGAGACAAATCGTTGTCACTATAGGTGTAACTCTAACTTCTGATAGACATATTGCAGCATTTTAACTAAACATCATGCTGTGTAATTCCTATGTACTTTCTCTATTTACTCCTGTTTTTTTTTGTTTATCATACAATGAGAAATCCATATGTGTTAAAGGGAACCTATAGTCACATTTTTGAGACTATAGGTTCCCTTCCGTCCACCCCCTTTTGGTAAAGTTAAAGTGAAACAATGATTGCTTACCTCGTTTACCTCGTTTACAGTGCCGAGACCACTCTGCTGCAGCCGCCTGCTCCCCTATGTCTGCTGCTGATGTTTTCTGTGATCTCCTTCAAACCAGTTAATGTTTCTCAAAGAGAAGCAATGGATTGGAATTAGGCATCCAGGGCCAGTCAGTATTTGGTTCCAGGAACGATTATAATTATGTTATTATTTATTTAGCGCCAACAAATTCCGCAGCACTTTACAGTGGGTGGACGAACAGACATGTAGTTGTAACCAGACAAGCTGGACACACAGGAACATAGGGGTTGAGGGCCCTGCTCAATGAGCTTACATGCTAGAGGGAGTGGGTAAAATGACACAAAAGGTAAGGATAGTATTAGACTAATGACAGTTGCAAGAGAGGAATCAGTCGGGAGCTATTAACAGTTTAACTGATACGCTTTTATGAAGAAGTGGGTTTTTAATGATTTTTTGGAGACTGGGTGAGCATCTAATGGAGGAGGGAAGTGAGTTCCACAGGAACGGTGCAGCCCTGGAGAAGTCTTGAAGGTGAGCATCAGAGGTGGGAGTACGGACAGAAGGGCCTAGACGGGACATACTTGTGTATTAGGGAGGATAGATAGGTGGGAGCAGCATTTTTTGAAAGCAAGAACCAGAAATTTAAATTAAGCCCTATATCTTACAGGAAGCCAATGTAGGGACTGACAGAAGGGTT